GCAGCATGGTTGTGAAGATTAATTGTGCACATGTGTGGCTTAGAGTTCCTGGTGTGTATGAAGTACTAGGTGTATGTTGAGTACAGTCCCCATCACCCTCTCCCTCTGCACTCCATGTGCCTGCTGGGTTCACATGGTGAGAAACTGGACCCTTTTCTTTCTCTTAGAAAGCCAACCTTTCTTTCCATGAGCCAAGAGAGATGGGAAGCAGAATGATAACTTGCTTGAATTACACCATGCCTTTTATTCACTGTGAAGGCTCTTATCTTTAGAGATGATTTTTTAAGGTCCTGCTTTTTGACCCACCTTGGGCTGGAATATTAGCTCATAGTGGGTTGGGACCTTCATGCTTTAGGTAGCTGCACGGAATTAACATTGGGAAGTATTTTAGAGCCTCAGAAGGTGCTTTGCAATGGAAATCTTTCTTATGGGCTGAAAGTGTGGAAAATTCCCTGATCATTAGCAGATAAGAAAGACAAATTTTACCTTTCAGAGGTTGTTATATTTTATAAGGTGAATGTGATTTTGAATATGTTTAGTTTTTAAATACTCACGATATGGGGTGCTAAAGCTGAGTCTCCAGGAGCTAGACCGTGTGTTAAAGGTGGAGCAGCAGAAGGGAGAGGGCTTTGGTGGGTCGGTTGGCCACCATCTCAGTGGAAAGAGGTGAATCTTCGGCTGCATCATCCCTGAGGCTGTGGGCAGGTCTGGAGTGATGGTTAGGGTTACTGTGAACTAGGCGAACCTTACTTTTAAAAACCGATAGCCATCCAGACATGAAAGGACAAATATTACAGAACGTACCAGAATTGTCAAATTAATAGGCAAATGGACAATTAATAGAGAATAATTTTCCAGGGAAGAGGTGGGAAATGGAAGAAAATGTTTAATGGGCTTGGAGTTTTAGTTTGGGAAGATAGAGGAGTTCTAAAGATGGAGGCTGAGGATGGGTGCACAGTGGGAATGCATGGTGTGAGTGCACCGTGTACATGTGCTTGCGTGTGCATGTGTGTGTCCGCCCGTGTGTGCACACTCAGCCCCTCCCACATGCTCTGCCCCAAGCTATACCACAGCCCAGTGTGAGCATATTTTGATGGCTCTCATACGTAAACTTAAACATGGTTGAAATGGTAAGTTTTGTTACATATATTTTGCCACTCAGATCATGAAAAGAGAAAGTGTAGCCAGGATTGATTTGCAGCTCTCACGGCAGGTGTGCCATTTTCCGAGTTAGGTCAGTCGGACAACTGTTCCCTCCATCTGGACCTGTGCTGCCAGGAAGTCCCATGGGAAGCCAGAGCCTGGCCGGAAGCCCGCAGGTTGCCTGACTTGAGGCTGAGTGGTATGAGCACTCCCGGGCCGTCTGCAGGCTGTCCTTCCCTCCCTCATACCCAGCCCTCCCCTCACACCTGCTCTGGGCTACAGACAAGTGTTTCCGACTCGGCCCTGAAACTATATGTGACCTGTGCCTGTCGCTCCTGCCCAGTATGGCCGCCCGGGGCCCAACAGAGGCTTTCCAACACCTCCCTGCCTGCTTCTCTCATCTTCCATGCTCTGCAGAACACCCAGGAGTGCGATCCTTGTAACCTACAGATCAAAGCGTCTACTCCTCCCCAAGAATGAAATTTAAACACATTTTAAAAATACCACTGCCTGATTGAAACCTACTTACTGCTTCCTGTCAGCGTTCAAAAAAACCCAACTTGGGTCCCACAGAGCCCCCCCGGGATCTGGTGCCCGCTCGCCTCCCGGACGTCAGCTCCCGTGGCACTCTGGTCACCCTGGCCTGCCTTTGGCAGCTGTAACCACAATGTCCATTGCTTCTCACTTTCCACCTTGGCTCCTTTCCCCAGATGTCCCACTGTCCGGAACATTCTTCCTCTGGTCTCTGCCTAGCTGTCCCTTCCTGACCAGAAGAATGTCCCCCCCAGAGGTGGCTTCCTAGCGCTGCGGGGCAGTCACTGTCCTGTCGCCTCGCTCACATTCTCTGCTGTCAGACGCTCTTTATTCACACACTTAGTGGTGGTTTCCCTCTTGCACCCGGAATGGGAGCGCCAGGAGAGCTGGGGCCTTGTTACGTGGGCCCTTGGTCAGTCCTGGCATGTGGAAGGCACCGAGAATGGAGCTACTGAGTGTGAGTGCGTGCCCCAGGGACGAGGCAGGGCGGCCATGGTGGCAGACAATCATGCCATGAGGCACTGTGATCTCCTCCCCTTCCATCTCCCGTTGCATCTTCTGATGCTGATTTCCACCCTCGATCCTTTCCGTTTTGCTTGTTGCCCTGTGTGAGCGCTCCACTCCCTTCTCCACCCTAGCCAGCTCGCCTGTCAGCAGCATCCTTGGAGCTCCCACCCTGCTCCCTCCGACCAGGCAGCCTCACGCCTAAGAACAGCACAGTGCCCTTCTGGCAGTTGCTCCTGCATTCTAGGGGGCACAGCCTTGCACCGGTGGGGTGTGCGGCATGTGGCAGGGAGATGCTCTCAGGAACGAGGCCCCTGTGTTCCTGGCCCGCGTGCGCTCGCGTCTGGGGGCCCCCAGTCCCACCAGCTCGGAGCCCCTCGCCTGTCCGTCCAGTCCTGCGGCTTTCCAGCTGCCCTGCTTGGGCTCCGGGCTGTGCTGTGAGGCAGTGGATGTCCTTTTTATAGTTTGCTTCCCCAGTAAGTTATGGGAGTGGGTTTCCTACTAAAACAATTTTTCTTTCTTCTTTTTCTTTTTTCAGTACTAGGGATTGAACTCGTGACCATTGTACTTAGCTACACCCCTAAACCTTAAAATTTATTTTTTAAAAAAATTTTGAGGCAGTCTCACAAAGTTGCTAAGTTGCCCAGGCTGGGCTTGAACTTGCGATCCTCCCACATCAGCCTCTTGTTACAGGGATGTGCCGCCACCTGGCTCCAACAAAGTAAGCTTTAAAAATAGGCAAGAAGATGATTGCTTCTTGAGTGTGTCCTGGGTGCCGGCTACTCTGCTGAGCCACGTGTCTGCACCTGTTGCGTCTGTTAATTCTCAGAACTCCCTGTAAATGAGGCTCTCCATTTCCCAAGTGAGAGAGCGACCCAGGAGAGGTCACGTAACTTTTGGGAGCCTGGCGGGTGCCTGAGGGAGTGGGGTCAGTGGGCGATGTGCAGCAGCCATGCTGGAACCGACAGGTGTCAGTGGAGCTGGGAGGGCGGCCTGTAAAAGAACAGCCATGCTTGGTAGCGGTCGCAAGGACAGCTCAAGCCAGTGCATGATTTAACCGCTGCACAGGAAGCGCCAGCTGTTCATCCCCTTCGAGCTCAGGCTGACCCCAGCTTCTGCTTCTCCTGGCTGTGAGCTCCTTAACCTCTCAGATCTTTAATTCCTTCAGGAATACATGAAAATACCAGTGCCCGTCAGGGTGGTCACAGTGAGGGCAGAGCGTGGTACTTGCTGCACCCTAGGCAGGAGTAGCAGCTTCTAATGGTGTCAATAGATTTCCCACGGATCTTTCAAGGTCATCTTCCCATCCCCGCCACTGTACTGAAGCTGTAGACTCCATCCGTGTCCCTTCCGAAGAGCCTCTTCTTTGCTGCAGCTGAAGCCATGGAAGAGGCAGAATGAGCCAGGGATGAGTCGAGGAGCTGAAGTCTGTGTTTACCCCCCTGCATTGTAGATACAGCAGATTTACAATTGCTACCTGCAGTGTGGATATTTACTTATGTGGCTGAGCAAAGTAGCCTTGGCTTTGGTTGAGAGGAAGGATCATTTGCTTCTTAAAATCTGCATTAAATACAATCGTAGGGAGAACTAGCATCTCACCAGATCAGTGTAGATCAGGCGGACAAGTCTGTTCTCCCTCCGAGCGGAGCTCCCTTCGGAGAACAGCTCTGTATGGAAGGCTTACGAGTAAGTGGAATTTATGTGTCTTGATTCCCTTTCCCTGAATTTTGTATTACTACAGGCAAGTAATGTAGCGAATGATGTACGTCATATTTTGCCTTTGAGTTTCTCTCTTCTGACTTACCCAAGTCCACCGTCTCTAGACTCCACAGGAGTCCTATTGAGATGCGGGGGGGGCATGCCAAGCATGTTGGGTTGCTCCAGGGATGGAGCAAGGATGGGCCTGGGAGCCAGACCCCACTCTAGGGTGAATTCCTGTGTCCATTGCCTGAAGGGACAGGATTAACTCTGGCCTTTCTTAGGTAGATTGCCAACCAGAGAGCCAGTATTTGGATGGTTCATGACAGCCAAGTGTGTGTGCCAGGAGTCGTGACTGCCCGGTGGACAGCAGCAGAGAGAGTGCAGCCACGCTCAAAGGGAGAGCAGGGTACTGGCTTAGTCCACACGGGTCAGGAGGGAACCAGGTATGTTGGTACCACTTGTATGGACTAAGCCAGTTCATGGTGTCAGTGGCGGAGGGGAGGCTGTGACTTACATGGTCCACTCTTGCCCAGAGCTTACCAAATGCCAGGCAGGAGGTGCAGGCACAGGTGGGCTGCAGGGCATGAAGCCATAGTGCTTCTCCCTCCCTGCCTGCAGACCCGGCTTTGGGGCAGGGTTGTTCTTCATGGAAGTTTCCCAAAACTAAAACTGGGTGGAGCTCAAAGAGCAGAGTTGATCCCACTCCCTCTTTTTAATTAGGGTGATTCTGAGCTTTTAAAACACATTTCATTTATATCTGAGTAAGTAAACGTCTGAGAGAATAGTGTTACAAAAAGACTCCTCTGTCGGGAAAGTAGAAGGTACCTGGAAATCTACTGCACCTTTGCTGTCATAGAGCTATGATTTTGCATTAGAGTCATCTAGAGGGCTTACTATAGCTAATTGCTAGGCCTCATCCCAAGAATTTCCAAATCAGTGTGTCTGAGGAGGGGCCTGAGCCTTTGTATTTCCAACCATATCAGACTCACCTTTGAAAACCGCTATCATAGAGTAATCCATTTCTTCATCATACTGAGTGTAAATTTTCTATTTTTGTTAAGTCCACCATTGGTGCAAATATGTTGTATTGATCTGCCTGTCTTTGTCTTTTTGAACAGGTATTTTGATGTTGGACTACATAATTTCTTAATCAGGTAAGCCAGTACTTTTTATTTTAAATAGCATTGAATAACATGTCAATTTTGGAAGGTTTTTTTTTTTTGGTACCGGGGATCAAACTTGGGACCTTGCACTTGCGAGGCAGGCAGCGAAACTCCTGAGCTAAATCCCCAGCCCCAGAAATAAATTCTTATTAAATATGTTGATAAATAATGATAATTGTATACTGTCAAAACACTGCCAACACTGTGTTTTTTGTGTTAAATAATCAAGGAAATCTATGTTTAAAGTGTTTTCAATCTCAGCTGATAGTTAACCAAGACCTGATCCCAACTACCAATGTGCTGGAAAGACAGATGGAGCAGTGAGCAGTGCCAGCTCATATTTAGACATTAAACAACCCATTTAACCAGTTTCTCCCTGCTGAATTTAATGTTTTTTAAATGAATCTACTGCTTATTTTACAATCACAAAGTGTGCAAATTGAAAGAGATTACAGATGGCAGTTTCCATCCAAGTTTATCAGTGATTTTTACTAGAGTTGGCTTATGAGGCATATTCAGTTTAAATAGCTATTAAATCAAAGATTAAATGGGAGTATACTGGAATATTACTAGTTTTATAAGGGTATATTTTTAAAGTCAACTTTGCTGTGTTTTCTAAATGTTTGATATCATGCATGTACCACTCTAATAATGGTAAAAATGATTGTTAAAATGCCTTTCAAAAATATACAAAGGAAGCAATAACAGTCACTGAGGAACCACTGTAAAATTAAAGATGGAAATCATGCAGAGTGACTTATGTGACTCTAAATGCCAGTTAATTGACTGAAAGTCTGCTAAAATCTGTGCATCAGTTGTGATTTCTGTATAGGTTTTATATGAAACAGTGCACGACCATCTCCCACTGGTAAAGGTGCTCGGAACAGAGTGTCCGTAATCCATATCTCCTTCAGTTGTCCTCCGTGCTGCACTGCATATGGCGGTGCTCCAGGATGGGTCACACATGCTGTGTCTTCTTTTCTAAGTCCTCATCCAGGGCTGGACATTGAAATCCTTTGGCCTCCCCCAGACCTAAGGAATGGGCGTTGTCCTTGGTTTTCTCCAAGATTTCAGTCACAGATGGAGGTGTGTAAATCACTGCGCTTTCCCAGCAAAGGGGCATAGCTTTTAGCAGAAGAGATAAAGGACTGATCAGAGAAAGCTATCTAGATCCATCTCCAGGAATGGTTGGGACTTTGAACTATGTCTGTGGGACTTTGTGCTGTGTGGTGGATATAAGTTTGTAACTTTTCTGAGGGCAGGAATCATCTCTTAATCAGCTATTACTGAGTAAATCCAGAAACATGTATAGAATCAACCTTCAAGAAATATTTGTGGCAGGTGTGAATGAATGGAACGAGAAGACAAGGAGGGCAGATGGGACTCAAAAAATGCTGTTCGTTTATTCAGCAAACAATCACGAAGCCTCCCACGCACTGTTACGGGTTTGTGTGGGCTACCGACGTTGACAGTAGGCTTTCCCTGACCTTACACTTGCTGGGCTTGGGGTGTGAGCTAGGGTGGTCTGGCTGTGGGGTCCCACCTCCCTGTCCGTGTTTGGACTCAGTCATTTCTCCTGTGCTTGGGTGGGAGGAGGGAAAGAGGGAGCATTCCAGGAGCTCTACAGTAAGTGGCTGGTGCTGGTGAAGCGGTTACTTTTATATAAACCCAAATTCTTTGTCTCATGAATTTAGGAGGGTGTTTATGGAAAATAGCAAGAAGGAAAAGCTCTTGGTGGATACCCAAGAGGAAGTTCTGAACACAAGTCCGATGTGCCTTCTTTGTTTTGCCTTATGTACAGGGACTTGTTGAAACAGGTGGCTTTGTAGGCTTAGGGTTCAAAGGAGATTAGGGATTTAGCTGATTTACAGGACACTGAGTTTGAAGGAAACTGCTTCTGCTGCATTTTTAAGTTTTTCCAAATCCGCCCCTTAGGGAGGAGCTGTCGACTAACTTGGCATAGCTTCTTCCAGGAGGAAAGGTCTTCATCTCCCTCTTCCTTGTTCTTGTTTACCTTTGCACCTCTGAGCTTGGTTTTGCTGCCTGTATTAGTTCCTAACCTGGATGGGCTATTTTCTTTATCTGACTCTATCAGTAGGTGCTCTGACTGCCTTACTCATAGCAGTTGAACTGAATTACTCGATGGGGATCCCCTGACCTGGCAGGAGGCCTTTTCGGGCAGATACTAGAAGATGCTCTAGCTTAGTCACTGTCTTAGCTACATTTTCTCTTTGCTGAAATAAAATACCCAACATCTTATGTTAAAGAAAGAGATTTAGCTCACAGTAGAGGTTTCCCTCCATAATCGGCTGGCTCCAAGGTAGGGTGGCTGGCAGAGGGGCATCGCAGAGCAGGCAGGAGGCAGCAGAAGACAAGCAGCAGCAAGTGACAGCAGCAGCCCTCTGTCCCTTACATCCTATCCAGGCTACACACCCTTAGGGCAGGTAGCACTCACACCCAGGATGGCATTCCCATTATCCACACCCAGCACCATGCTAAACCAACCAGTGGGCTAGTTTAGTAATCACACATTTGATCCCAGCATCACACCCTTTAATCTCAACATCACACGCTCTAGATCCAGCCACCCCTGAAAAGCCCTACCTGATGATCACATGAGGCTTTGGGGGACATCGAGACCCAAGCCATAATGGTCTCCCTAACCAGAATTGTATAAGGCAAGCGGAACTGGGGGTGAAGCTTCTCTCCCCTCACCATCTCCCTGGGGTCTTCCCTTCTTTACTCCGGGAGGGGAGGGCAGAGCAAATGAGCATGTGCATTGCTGATCTGGTTGGGAGTGAGGTCAGTCTCCCTGCAGAAAGCAGTCCAGCCCTCCATGCTCAGCCACATGAGCCATCCTCACCTCCCTCACGTGGACAACTTAACCCTTAGGAGGTCACTGAGAAATAGACTCTTGGCTCGTAACCTCTGCAGGGTTAAAGACTCCACTCAGTCCCTTCCTGATTCCTCTCTGGAGCTTGGGACCAGGCTCAGGTCGGCAGTAGGTGGAGGTTGAGCTGGGAGCAAAACTAGTCTTCATGCCTTAGTAACTCAGGATGGGCTGGCTGGCTTTATTTGCAGCCCTCTCCAGAAAATGGATCCTTTACTCAGCCAGCAGGGCAGCTGGGGGCTGAGCACCCCTTATAGTTGGTTGTGTGGGCGAGAAATGCTTCCCTGGGACGAAACCTCACTCCTAGGTGGAGAGGGAGGGTGGGATACCATGGGATGCCGGTGACCACGGACGGGAGAAAAGAAAGACCTGGCAGCAGGGGAGGAGGGTGGGGGAGGAGGGAGTTGCCTTTTAAGTGGGAGAAACTCTTGGGTTGAGCCAGCAGAAGATTTTAAGTCGCCTTTAGATGAGAAAGTGGTCTCAGCGGGTGCAGAGATGCAGAGTGTGATGGCCAGGGGTAGGCAGAGGTCTGCAGCGCCCCCAAGAGCAAGGGGGTTTTCCTATAAAGCCATCCTCATGATGGAACAGGAATGTAACTCCCAGCTGCTAGATCAGATGTGCTGAGTTTGTGTACCCTGAAGTGGAAGCAGGATTTCAAGGAACAGTGGAGGTTTAAGAGTAGGAAAGGTTTTATTGAGAGAGAGCTCCTGAGAGACAGGAAGGGTCCCGAGTGAGTGGTCAATGAGGGCTTTGTCAGAGTAAATTCATACAGTGCGGGTACAACAGGGTCAAGCCACAGTCGACCTATAGGATTACAAGTATAGTTGCTTAGCTAATATTGATCCAATGGGAAAACAAGTCACATGGCAAGGGTGCATGAAAAGAACAAAGGCATTTTGGGAAGGGATGGGTCCAGCTCTGGTCACCCACCTGGGCCACTGATGCCTACCCAGCTGGACTTCTTGGGCCAGGTGGTGCTGATTACAGTACAATTCCAGTTACTGCTTATCCCTCAGGGAGGTGCGTGGGCCTGGCCACTGTGTTTTCATCTTGAAGCCTGGGCTTCTGCAGATGCACCCCAGCCACAATTCCTGTCTTTATTTTTACCAAGTTCTTTTTCTTTTTACCAGTCTTCTACCTAATTTCTACCTAACTTTGCTGCCCGTCATACTTAGAGGAAGCCTGAGGGGGCTGCAAGAGTAGGGTGAGAGTGTTAGTGGGACTGGAGGAATCCTTGGTTTGTGACCACAGAGGGGAAAAAAATATATTCCCTTTGCAAAGGAAGACATTGGCACGGTTTTTGTTTTGTTTTTAGATTAATGCATCATTGACTCCAACAGCTCTTGAAGTGTTCTGTGGCTTGTCAGGTTGTATCGAATCCTTAGTATTTGCATAAAAGAAACCACACCTTCTCTGAATTAAGCAGCTGCATCTTTTACACTGATGGAAGTAAGTGGACTTCTCTGGGTGACATAGATGTCCCTGAGCCCAGGCCTCTGTCTGTGACCCCAGCCAGGCAGCTGCATGGAGGGGATGCTTCCTGTCAGTGGGTGGAGGAACTGTCACGTTGAATGAAAGATGAGCACTTTCCACATGAATGTCCCTTATGAAGACAGTGGGAAAAGTCAGTGAGCTCAATCTGTCATGCATCTTATAGAAATCAAAGGAAGCCTTTGAGGGAGCAGAACCACAAGTCACCTGAGAATAAACTCTGAAGATCGTTGGTTGGAATTCTTAATGTGTCTCTTCAAAAGAAAAAGGAAAAAATGACCATCCTGCAAAAAGAGATTATGCAATAAGACAGCTCTGTTCATTATAGATAAAGAGGTCTCAGTTGCTGCCTGTTTAAATTTAGCTTGGACTAGCTCTGGCAACAAAGTGAAGATCTGTGGTTTTAAACATTTGATTCTTGCATTTTTGCGGGTCCAGAACTGTAGCCATCTCACTCCCCTTTTTAAAGACAACCTGGCCTTGATGTGCTGCCCAGACTCCTGGGAGTGTCACCGGGCTGGGTCTAAGATGTCCCAAAGCTGAAATAAGGAACTTAACCCAACTTCCATCATGGAAAAAGTTTTCAGGACCTGTCAGTAAAAGGCACAGG